AAGTATTTTCCTTACCTGAATTTAATAAATATGGAGATTATAAGCGACCTACCTTACTTGTAAGGTACTTGACCTAGCCTCTTGTAAGGGTGACTGAGATAATGTACCGGTATGTGAAGTACTGGATTCCGGCATCAGATTGAATTGCATTGCTGACTAACAAAACTATTTTAGATTTGGAGTTTATTGTTGTCTTGTATAACATGTTACATACATGTCTTTGTATGAGTTAATTGCTTCTGAATCTTTGGTTACAATGTTGACTATACATTTCAGAAACAAAGATTTGACTACAATAAATATGAGGTATTGCAATTATAAATATAACAGTTGCCTCCTCCATTGTTGATGTTCTGTAGAAAGCTCCTTGAAAGCAGATGTGCAATGATGGGTCCCTTATATTCAGTCGTGTGACCAAGAAACAGAACTCAGAATGGGGCAGAAAGAAACAAGACATGATTCTCAATTACTTGATTTTCAACAACAAAAATTCCTTCCAGTAGCACCTTAAAGACCAACTAAGTTAGTTCTTAGTATGAGCTTTCGTGTGCATGCACACTTCTTCAGATTTTCAACAGAAGAGGAAATCAGAGGAAGAGAGCAAGTTTAGCACCGCACTTTTTTGTGGTGTCACCCGACAGGGCCTGCTTCCATATAATTAAATGGTTGCAGCCATTCGTTCCAACTGGGAAAAAGAAATGGTGACACTTAGGAATATTACAAGAAGGTTAAAATATACCCTGCATCACAGACAACTAGGTAACCTGGCCCTCACAAACCAAGAACCCAGAAAGGATGGCAACAAACACATGATTAAAAATTACATTTATATCATGGCTTTCCTAAAAGGAGATCAAACTGATCTGTAGAAAGGACTCTGTGAACTGAAAGTAGATACACTGTATGTACTTTTGTAACCCAAGAAAATATTTAATAAAAACAAAGTTTTAAAAAGATACATGACTCCCCCCCCCCCGTTTTATGCTCACAACAACCCTGTGAGGTAGATTATAATGGCTGAGAGGCAGAGATTGGTCCACAGTCCACCCGTGAGCTTCATAGCTGAGGGGGAGATTTAAATCCTGGTCTTCCCAGGACTTTTTAACCACTACCCTAATAACTGACATGTCGCTCAGGCGTAGCCAGGATTTTTGTTAGGTAGGGCAGGACTTGGGGGGGTGGGCAGAACCAAAGTGATTGATCAGTTAGTTAAGTATTTCTGTTGTTTTACTTGATGGGGGGGCAGCTGCCACCCCCCCTTGGCTAAGCCCATGGACATGTGGCCCTTTTGCAAGGATGATACACAACATTGTGAAGTGTACCACATTTTGGGGCACGAAAATAACGCTTGGCATGCAGAAAACAGTGAAAGCACTCTTTCATTAATTCAGAGTTTCAGGTTTTTTGTTTCCTCTCCAATGAGCCATTTGAAACATAAAACTACTAGGGCTGGCACATGAGGGCGGCGTATGGAACGTCCTAAAATTTGTAATTTCTGCATAAAGATCATTCTAGACCCTTCTCTCTCTATCAAATGCATGCACACATTTCCTCTGTTCCTCCTTCCAAGTTCAGTGTGTGTGTGTGTGTGTGTGTGTGTGTGCATGTGTGTGTGTGTGTGTGTGTGTGTGTGCGCACAAGGAAATAAAAAACGGAAAACAGATTAATGTTCTTATTACAACTTTCCTGTGCTCCTGGTCATCCTTAAGTGTGGGGCATGGGGCAATTAACACCTGAGAGATGCCCTCCTGGCTTGCACACAGGGAGGTCCCAGGGTTCAATCCCCAGGCAGGGGCTGGGAGAGACCCTGGAGAGCTGTTGTCAGTCCGTGTTGGCAATACTGAGCTAGAGGGACCACTGTTCAGCTTCATATAATCATAGGCTTGTAGAGCTGGAAGGGGCTCCAAGGGTCATCTAGCCCAACCCGCTTCAATGCAAGCATCTCAGCTGGGTTATACACGGCAGGCGGCCGCCCAACCTCCCTTTGCAGTGCGTTTCACAGAATAATAAAACTGGAAGGGTCTCCAAGGGTCATCTAGCCCAACCCGCTTCAATACAGTAATCTCAACTAGATCATACATGACAGGCGGCCACCCAAGCTTCCTTTGCACTGCAGTTCATAGAAAAGAGCTGGAAAGGGCTCCAAGGGTCATCTAGCCCAACCTGCTTCAATACAGGAATCTCAACTAGATCCTACACGACCGGCGGTCGTCCAACCCTCCTTTGCAGTGCGTTTCATGGAATCACAGAGTTGGAAGGGACCCCCGGGCCCCAGGGTCATCTAGTCCAACCCGCTTCAATGCAAGAATCTCAGCTGGATTGTACACGACAGGCGGCCGTCCAACCTCCCTTTGCAGTGCGTTTCACAGAATAATAAAATTGGAAGGGGCTCCAAGGGTCATCTAGCCCAACCCGCTTCAATGCAAGCATCTCAGCTGGATTATGCACGACAGGTGACCATCCAACCTCCCTTTGCACTGCGTTTCACGGAATCACAGAGTTGGAAGGGATCCCCCCCCCGGACCCAGGGACATCTAGCCCAACCCGCTGCAAGGCAGGACTCCCAACTCCACCATAAGCCCCAGAGGGCCGCCCAACCTTCCCGGGCGCCGTGTTTCCTCCAGGCCAGCCCGCCTCCCGCCCCGGGACTCACGCAGGTGCCGCCGAGCCGCCCTCTCTCCACCACGGCCACCCGAGCGCCGAGCTCCGCCGCCCGCCGAGCGCTGGCCAGGCCGCCCGAGCCGCCTCCCAGCACCAGGTAGTCGAAGGCCGTCGAAGAGGAGGCGCGGAGCTGGGCCATGGCGGCGGAGGCGGCGGCTGCAGCGCGACTAGCAGGAAGGAGGAAGGCCGCCACGGCCAGGGGAGACCGCGGGCGCGGCCACCGCATCCCGCCTCCTGTCCTGCCCCCGCAGCGGGCGAGGCGAGGCAGGCGGCGCCGGCGGGGAAGGCGGGCCAGGCAGGCCAGGCCGCGGCGCTGGAAGGCGCCAAGACGCGGCGCCTCGGTTAGGCCGCCTCAGGGAGGGAAGGAGCCTCTGAGGGAGAAAGCGGGCCCTGCCGGATTGACGTATAAGCTGAACAAGCTATAGCTGAGGGCCAAAAAAAAAAAAAAATTAAATTAAAGGCAAAAAACCTGGATGTACATTTCCAAAATAGAAGATATAAAACAAATAAAATAAAACCTACATCCAGCAACAGTGTTTTGTGTTGTGTGGGTAAGTCATGGGCTCCGCCTGCCAGCCTGCTCCCTAAAATATCACTTGTTTGCTCAATTCTACATATAGGGTGGGATGCGGGTGGCACTGTGGGTTAAACCACAAAGCCTAGGACTTGCCGATCAGAAGGTCGGCGGTTCGAATCCCCGCGATGGGGTGAGCTCCCGTTGCTCGGTCCCTGCTCCTGCCAACCTAGCAGTTCGAAAGCACGACAAAGCGCAAGTAGATAAATAGGTACCACTCCGGTGGGAAGGTAAACGGCGTTTCCGTGCGCTGCTCTGGTTTGCCAGAAGCGGCTTAGTCATGCTGGCCACATGACCCGGAAGCTGTACACCGGCTCCCTCGGCCAGTAAAGCGAGATGAGTGCCGCAACCCCAGAGTCAGCCCCAACTGGACCTAATGGTCAGGGGTCCCTTTACCTTTACCTTACATATAGGGTGCCTACATTCTGCATGGACTGGTTCCACGGCAACATGTGCAAATGGCTTGAGATACCTATTGGGTCCATAAATGACCATATAGCCTATATTCTGTGATAGGAATTTTGAGGTCTTAGATGTATGGTAATGTTCATAAGTGTACCAACCAAGCACGTACATAGATCAGCACAGGAAGACCGACCTGGAACCATTTTGATTCCTAAACTGAGCAAATGTTTTCTCTGCAAGGTCAAAGTGGGAAACCGTCCATTGTCTCTTCCCTCACAAATCCTGTCTTAAGGGCACATTTAAGATATGAATAGGGTGTGAGCCTGTGACCTGGCCCAGGAACTAAATATTTATCGTTACAAAAGATTGGCCAGGCTCCCCAGGCAATCCAATCAAGTAACCTGCCAGACAGGAGATAACGACACGAGAAAAACAACATTCAGATTTCTGTTTTAGACCGCCTTTTCTGTGATGTAGGTATGATGTATCTGGGGATGGTCTTAGGTTACATCCCTTCTGTGATGTATGTATGATGTTTCTGGGGGTGGTCTTAGGTTACATCCCTTCTGTGATGTATGTATGATGTTTCTGGGGGTGGTCTTGATCTACAGGGTGGCAATTTCAAAAGTCTTTATAAGGCCTTGCACGCCATTTTTCTGGGTTCCTCTTCCTCTCCTGCGGGTGAGGGGAGCACCCTGTTGCAACAGATCAATAAAGATCAAGCTTACTAGCTGCTTTGCTTCTCAATATTCTCTGGTTGGCCTCTGTTATCTTCTCCTACCAATAGGGAACCTATGTAAGGACTCTATATGGGCTCTTGGATACCCCATAAGGGAAAAGGGCAATTTTTGTTTACAACAATTCAACACAAAAAACCGCAACAATTTGTTTTTGACAGAGGACATATCAAGGGCCCCATTACCTTCAGTAGCTTAGGGTCTTATCAAACCTCAATCCGGCCCTGCCTGCAACATTTCTTTTTCTTTTTTTATATAAATCTTTTTTATTGAGTTATGAGGCAGAACCACATTTCAAAACACAAGTCTTCTCCCGTCACATGTATAATAGATTTTGCGTGTGATGTAACCTTCAGTCTTCTATTAGCCCTTGTAAAAGGAAGAGGCTGCTGGCAGGATGGTTAACAGCACTTGCTTACCGTATATCTCCTTGGCGTGTTGCCTGTTTATTCCTTTGCTTGACCCCTGCCCTGTTTGGTATATTTGCTTTTAGCGGCACTGAACCTTCTTCCTCCAGTTATGCCACCCATTTTGCAGTTTTTCTCCCACCCCAACATTTGCCCGACTTCACCTCTAGGGTGCAGAATTAATCAGCGACAACCCAATAAAACCACATACAATTCTTTACAGACCAGCATCTTTAATGACGATTTTGTCGCAGAACAACATTTACAAAAACAGAGTCCATCGCCTGTATTAGGGGGAGGTTATTGACAGAGGGAGACTGGGACTTCGACTTGATGCAGCCAGGGGGTGATCCAAACTTCAAAATAGCATCTGAATGTCTGAGAAGGGGGGAAAGGAGAAAGATTAATATTAAAATCAGCCCAGTGTCGAAATCTAGAAAGCTGACCTGTGTCATTATCCGATGGCTTGTTCAATATCCTGAGCAGGTATTTCAAAAAGGAGCTCACAGTTATTCCACCTTCCTCTTTGACAACCCCAAGGCAAGGAGATGTGGCCGCAGCTCCTGCAACATTCATGCGCAACTCCCTACTCTGGCCTCATGCCCAACGTGATAAAAGACAGAGGCCTCTTGCAATGCTCTGGCTTAGGAAACGACAGCCTTTCTTGAGGTGCTTTCGCTATCTGATAAGCCTCATATATTATGTGGGGAAAGATTCTGCATCAGCAAGGGAAGAGTCTCTCGCTGCTCTCATGATGTTGCCACTACTGCACGACTTCTCATGTTGCACAGGGAGAGGTCCCAGGCCACAGGGGAGCAACGAAGGCCATACTCCTTTGACAAAGTGCCTGCTCTGTGGCTTTGTTCCCCTACATCAGTAGAGCCTGCCCCCGATTGACCACCAGCAGCAACCATTTCAAATTTTCCACAGTGCCCTTGTACAACTTTCTCCTGCACCCCAGAGCATTGTGGGAAATTCATCATGGCCATTTGCAGCCGCTCACTGCTTGGTGGGTGGGGCTAGAGGCTCAGGGCAGGTGCCAGAAGGTGTCCAGTGCTGATATCAGGCCTGGGCACAACATAACTAATGCAGAAATAGGATGGAGCAGGGCTTTTTAAAGGCAGAACTTGCTGGAACTCAGTTCTGGCACCTCTCAGGTGGGCACCATTGCCATTATAAAAGAACCAGAAAGTTCTGGAACCTCTTTCTTCAGCAGACCAGTCAATGTGAAAAGTGTTTCCTGAACAGAGAGAATTTGAAATCTACAGTGTGGTTTTTTAGACGTGGCTTCCCTTATTAACTTATTGAATTATAACTGGGATGGGGAATCTGTGTCCATCAACATCTGGAGAACAATAGGTTCTCCCCACTGCCCCATTTATCACTCCTAGGAGTAGGTAGGTCAGTTTATTGCAGCAGCAAAAACAACCAATTATTGGGGCATCTTAAAAACCAGCAAATTTGGTTATGACATAAGCCGGCTTTCCCCAGCTTGCTGCCCTTCAGGGTTTGGGTTTTTTTTTCATTTTAAATTGGTCACCGTGCTTATTTTACATACATTTAAGTTCTAAATATAATGTTTGCACTTCAAGACTCATGGACATTGATAAAGCTGGGCCCAGCTAAGTCACCAGTGAAGAGATACCAATATGCATAGGAGTCCATTCCTAGGGGCCAAGGTCCCTTTGGCTTCCCTCATAAAATATTTGAGGAGGCCAGGCCCCTCAAAGTTGATGGGCAGTGCCATTCAAATGATGTGGTGCACCACATCATGTGTTCAGTGATGTGGGGCGGGGCCTACCTGCCCCCCCTCCTATTTTATTCAAGTTGGCCTTCCTGCAATATGGATAGCACAGCAGATCCTGGATGAATCTAGACACATGGGGGGAGGGGAGAGAGAAATTCAGGAAAATGTGTTGTAAACCTCATAATGTGAAATCACGTTGCCAAAAGGCAGAACTCCACAGCGCCATCTGGTGTCACAGTGTTCTAACGCATTTAAAACCCTTTTTCGTTACTAATGAAGCTGAATCTCCCGTAAAGTTCCACATTAGTCCATTAGGAAACCAATGAGAAATCTGAACACATCTTACTTGTCTCAGTGTCTTTTTCCTCTGGAAATCACATCTGTCCAAGTCGGGCTCGGGATGTATCCTTTTGCTGCATACTGTCCGGCAGATATCAACATCGATTTTGTATTTCACCCCTCTCACAACCTAGAGAGAACAATTTTCACTAAACCAGACATAGTAAGGCAAATTGAAGAGATAGAGGGAACTTTTTATATACCGGGGGAGCAGGAAGGGAAGATAACAGTTTTTTCAAAGGCCTTATATTTCCACCCCACCCCACCCAAGTGGGAGGCATATTGCTAAGGCATGTTGGTGCCTGTTGCTTGTATATTCATCCCACTGTTATCTCTGATTATTGGTTTTGAAGGACAAAAACCTGTTAAACCTGTTTGACCAGAGACTACATTGGGAGAAGGTGATGAAACAGCGAGGTTACTAGCTGGGGTTCCATTTGGATCATATCTAACCTCTTAAAACCTCTGCATTGGTTGCAGTCAGTTCTTTTCTGCACCTAATTCAAGATGTTCATGTTAGTGATTAAAGCCCTTAAGAACTCAGGCCACAAATACCTGAAAGACTGTCTCCTTCCCTATCAACTTTCTCTGGTGTCAAGATCAACAGAAGGGGCCTGCAGAAGCTCAGGGTGGTGGCAGCCTAGAAGATGGAGTTCTTTGTGGTTGCAGGAGAAATGTAGACCTTCCAGAAGGGCTTATTTAGCCATCGGCAGAGCAGCAGCTGAACCAAGATGCAAGTCATAATAGCTCACTTCAACAGAGTGACTTTCAGAAGCACTGCAGTGATATTTCCACCTGAGTGTGTGGTGACTTACGGGAATATTTCATCTTGCATTGGCACCAGAAAATGACATGTTTTGTTTCATTGCTGAATTTGTTGCCATAACAGCCGGAGTTTCCTTACCTGCCTCATGGCTTTGTTTATGCGAAATTCTCTGAATAGAAAGATGTCATTTGAACTGTTGTTGTATCTGTAAACACCAAACCTAGCAGCTCTCTGAACTCCTGGGTCGTTGGTCTTGACAGCGATAGGAGATCCCGGTTTTATGGCTGAATTAGGGAAATGCCTCTTGCTACCTGTACAAGCAAAATTCACAAATGAATAATTATTTAGAAATTTTGTCCAGCTTACACATGGAAATAACCTTGTGACCTATCAGCTAGGTTTGGAATTTCACACCTCCACCTCCCTATTTTGGAAATGTATTCATCATTTGAATGAAAGCGGGGGCAAATTTGACCACAACACAAATTACAATTGGAGTCGGCCCCTGCGAACCAGGCAAATAGTTTTGTGAGAGAAATGTGGCCCAGAGCTGTTTGTTTTGTTTTTAACTACACATGGCTTTGTGGGTTTGCCCAAGGTGCTAGCTTGCCATTCATTTGAAATACAGTGGTACCTCGGGTTACAGACGCTTCAGGTTACAGACGCTTCAGGTTACAGACTCCGCTAACCCAGAAATAGTACCACGGGTTAAGAACTTTGCTTCAGGATGAGAAGAGACATCGCGTGGTGGCGGCACGGCAGCAGCGGGAGGCCCCATTAGCTAAAGTGGTGCTTCAGGTTAAGAACAGTTTCAGGTTAAGCACGGACCTCCAGAACAAATTAAGTTCTTAACCCGAGGTACCTCTGTACAGGCAATGGCTGGTTTGATGTGCGACCGTGCGCACGTGCATTGCACTGACCCCAGAAGTGGACAGAAAAGGGTGTAGAGGGCTCTCTGCTGATGCTCGCGGGGGTCAGCAACGCAACTCTCTTGCAAAATGGCCACCACCTGTAGTCCCAACACCACCAAAATCTACCTTTTGGTGCCTCCAACTTTACTGAAGAAGCTTGCTGTTTGGCAAACTCAGACTGAAAAACTGACAGCTTTCAAAGCTGATGTCGTATGAGGAGGGGAACCATCAGCTTCTTCCTTTCTCTCACAGTTAAAACCCACTCTGTGGTTTATCGTTACTCTGCAATCAGCAGTTGACTCACAGGACACGACAAGAGAGTGTCAAAACTGCAAACTTTCTCCAAAGGAAAGCTTGATACGGCAGTGCATTTAAACAATAGGTCAAGTTTCTGGCAGTGTAACTGGTGTGTAACATGGTGCAACCCACAAAGGCCTGGTGTTGCAACTGTGTGATGAAAAAAAAGCACTTGTCTGGATTAATGCATGGTAAAAATTGTGCAGTTTCTCTCCCTTGAACAGTACAGGCCAGTTCATATGTTCATATTAACCACGTGATCACTACAAGTACAGATTTATCACGGCTAGAGAAATCAGGTGATACATGCATGTGTGAACTTAAAGGTAAAGGGACCCCTGACCGTTAGGTCCAGTCGTGGACAACTCTGGAGTTGCGGCGCTCATCTCACTCTATAGGCCGAGGGAACCGGAGTACAGCTTCCGGGTCATGTGGCCAGCATGACTAAGTCGCTTCTGGCGAACCAGAGCAGCGCACGGAAACGCCGTTTACCTTCCTGCCAGAGTGGTACCTATTTATCTGCTTGCACTTTGACATGCTTTCGAACTGCTAGGTTGGCAGGAGCAGGGACTGAGCAACGGGAGCTCACCCTGTTGCAGGGATTCGAACCTCCGACCTTCTGATCGGCAAGCCCTAGGCCCTGTGAACTAGCTGCACACAAAAGCAGGGACACACTGAGTAGCCTCAAACATGACACCACACATGCTGAGCAGCCTCCCTTGGAATCTGTGTGCACAATGCAAACATCTGTAGGGAGGGCTTTTTCAAATGTACAGGTGTATGTGCAAAGCCCCTTCCTCCAGACATTTGCCGTGTGTCCATGAATGCCAGGAGGGGAGTCACTTAGCATGCACAGTATATGGGGGGGGGGATATACACTCTTGTTGTTGTTGTGTCATTTAGTCGTGTCTGACTCTTCGTGACCCCCTGGACCAGAGCACGCCAGGCACTCCTGTCTTCCACTGCCTCCTGCAGTTTGGTCAAACTCATGCTGGTAGCTTCGAGATCACTGTTCAACCATCTCGTCCTCTGTCGTCCCCTTCTCCTTGTGCCCTCCATCTTTCCCAACATCAGGGTCTTTTCCAGGGAGTCTTCTCTTCTCATGAGGTGGCCAAAGTATTGGAGCCTCAGCTTCATGATCTGTCCTTCCAGTGAGTACTCAGGGCTGATTTCCTTAAGAATTACGTTGCGCTATTCACTCAGCAAGTGTGTCTGAATGTTGCACGCTGTGAATATGTGTTCAAATCACTCAAGTGGAGACATTTATGCATGTGCACTGGACTTGAATTTTTAAAAATTCTTGATGCTTTTATTGTTGCATTGATTTGAGATTTGCTTTTAGAAAACATTTCATAAATGGAATGAAATAAATAATCTACCGCACTTCAGAATGTGTGTATAGCTCTGCTAGGGGTAGACATAAATGCAAAAGAGGAAGAGCAATAGAGGAAGTGGTTCCGAATTCCACGCACATTCCCAGCAGAATGTATGTGTGGCTCCACTGAGGCTATATGCACATTGTAAAGAGCGAGAGAGGAAGTGGTTTGAAATTTCACACTCATTCACAACATATTGAAGCCAACTGGATGCCTATGGGGAACTGAGAATGGCACATGAATGATGTGTTCATTCACAGTGGTCACTGTGATAGCAGCAGCTAGTTAGTAGGTCCATCTTCTTCCATGGTCTTCTCTTTCTGTCCCCCTTTTCTTTTTCACTCTGAATGCCAAGCTGGGCAATTTCTCAAATATCCCCACCCTTTGGCTGGCATCCCACTGCTTGTATTAAAAATACAGTTCCATATACATCAGTGCCGCTCCTTCCAGAAATGTTGAAAACAGCTGCATATTCATTTTACAGTAAGTAGCCTTGAGAAACACCTAAAACAACACCCCCCACACACACACACCAGTGTTAATCAAATATCGGGAGGGGTAAAAACACCCTTAGCTTCTTCGCTACTCAGAATATAAACCACAATGGAAAAAGAGAGATTTCGGTTTATCTAACAGCAGACATTTTGTGAGACTCTGCTTTTTCTGTGCATTCATGTCTGAATAAAGAGAGAACCTCATCATCATCATCATCAGTATCCTGTCCTTCATCCAAAGATCACAGACCAATTCGCAACATAAAAATGAAAATAAGAGAACACAAAATGCACAATAAAAACAAAAACAAACCAACACCCTCCTCCCACTTCACATTAAGTTTTCAGCTCAGATCTTGAACCTTTAAGCGCAGCCTGGCATCCAGCTATTTAGCAAGAGAAGTTTTCCATGCATGGAGATGTCATGGGCTTGGGAAGGGAGTTCTGCGTGCTGAACCTCTGTCTCAGAGGGTTTGCAAAGGAGCAACAGGTGGCGTCTCTAATCCCGTTTTCAAATAAAACACTGGAAAATCTAAAGTTGACCTAACTGCCACTAGGAAACCTTGCAACAGCCTCTCTTTCACAAGGGTGTTACAGTCCTTGATTCAATCGCACACACTCTCCACCCAGTGCAACCCTGTTTCTTAGACTTAAATAAAAGGTGGTGGTCTCAACTGATAATGGCTGCGTACAAAACATACATTTAAAGTGCATGGCTTCCCCTAAGGAATCATGGGAAGTGTAGCTTATCCACCACAGAGCTGCAATTCCCAGCACCCTTCAGAAACTACAGTTCCCGTGATTATTGGGGGGGAAACCCATGTACAGCATTTTTAATGTGCTTTAAGTGCATTGAGTGTAAACACCCAATATTGTACACACACCTGCAAATGTCATGGGAGAATACTAAAGCTGTTTTCTGATCTTACCAGCTGAAGTCCTGGCCACATTGCAGAGAAGAAGGCAGCAAAGAAGAGACATTTTCCTCCACCCAACGGACACCATTTCTACCTTCCTAGAGTAACCAGCAAAGAGACGAGGGCTGCTTGACTCGAACACTTGCTTTTTTGCACCTAGCAGAGGAAGTGGGGTTTCCACTGTCTGTTCAGGAACTCTCATTGGTCAAGAAGAGCATACTGTATAAAAAAGCCTCGATCGCTATCTCCTGTCCCGCTCATTGGCCCTTGCAAAATCTATTAGCAAGTTTCTTTTTGAAGAACTCTGGGTGATGTTAGCACTTTGTGCAGAACAGGGTTTGTTTGTTTGTTTGTTTGTTTGTTTGTTTGTTTGTTTTTAAAAGGGAAGTCAGATCCAAAATGGGCAGGTAGAAGGAGTCAGAGGCAGTTCAGAAAGAACATCGGGGGGAGTTCAGTCATTCAAGTCATGCAAAAAGTTGTGCTGTGTTAGATAATAGAAAAGGGTGTAGCCAAGACCCTGATCAAGTATACCCATTTCTCTTTCGCCCTGCCAACGACCCTCCCTGCAGACTCCACTGCTCCGGGTATTCACCAATGCTTCTAGAATGAAGGAGATAGTTCTAGAACATGGTTCTAGTCCTGTGGTGTTGCGATAAGGGTGGGAAGCCAGAAATGTCCAATATGGCATTCATAACACGGACCTTACTGGAACCAACATGGATATGAAATATTTGTGTCCCAAATGCACAAAATTATTAAAGCAGTTTGGAAACAGAGAAGTCTTCTGTCTAGGTTCCTCACTAATGAGAGGCAGTCACAAGAGATATGAAGGAATTATGAGTTTTCAATGTTAAGTTGTGGGTGAACATATCAGACAACACAGCGATTCTTCAAACAGCTCTTGTTTATTCACAGGCCAGAACAGAACTGACTGAAGGGTTCAGCCAACCTGCTTATATAGAGCTCCACTACAAAGCAACAGTAACAACTTTCTGTAACTATCCAATCACTGAACCTCACTTTCAATTCCTTATTTGCATATGCGGACCTGAGTGAAAACTATCTACAGTATCCCCCTGCTGGCCCAGGGTGAGAACTTCAGTACATAACACTCAACTCTCCCAAGATCCCTCTTTCCTCAAAATCCCAGTCCTGAGGAGCTCCTCCCACTCTGCGTCGATTTCTAAAGGCCGTGGGATTTGACACTCACCAAGAAAGGATTATGCACACATGCAGAAAAGGCATAGGTGCATTGTAGCCACGCATGCTTTGAGCATGAATTATAATCACATGTTGTTGTTGTTGTTTAGTCGTTTAGTCGTGTCCGACTCTTCGTGACCCCATGGACCAGAGCACGCCAGGCACTTCTGTCTTCCACTGCCTCCCGCAGTTTGGTCAGACTCATGTTTGTAGATTCGAGAACACTATCCAACCACCTCGTCTTCTGTCGTCCCCTTCTCCTTGTGCCCTCCATCTTTCCCAACATCAGGGTCTTTTCCAGGGAGTCTTCTCTTCTCATGAGGTGGCCAAAGTATTGGAGCCTCAGCTTCACGATCTGTCCTTCCAGTGAGCACTCAGGGCTAATTTCCTTAAGAATGGATGTGTTTGATCTTCTTGCAGTCCATGGGACTCTCAAGAGTCTCCTCCAGCACCATCAAGAGTCTCCTCCAGCACCATATAATCACATACTACTCAGCAATTGTAAATTTTCCTATAAGACCACTACTAGCAGTGGGCAAATCTGTCAATTTCTGTTTCTCTCACTCTCTCATTTTCCTATTCTTACGTTCTCCACATTTCCACATCATTTTGCAAATTGTTTTTTTCTCTCTCTAAAAAAGTCATCTTGAAAAAAATGATCAGTATTTTTGTGTGAATTTCTTTTACTGTGCACATTTCCCCCCAAATTCTCCAGCCAAGTAATGTGTACAAAAAAATGCAAATAATATGGTGAATTGTGCATGAAAATGCATATATTAATAGAGGCTCTCTTGCTGATCTTGAGTGACTGACTCCCATGATCTATCTTATTATTACACTTATCTCTCTCCTCTACAAAGAATACAGGCAATTTTTCTGAAGCCATACTGGCTCTCCTACAGGACAAGTGAAGCAAAACATTCTATGCTCAGTTGAGGCAAGCACAATTCACCAGGGGGCACTATTACCCTTTCTGAGAAACTTGATTCAGGCCCATCCTTGGCTCAAAGTTCTTGCTCTGGGCTCTTCTGCACCACTCCCCAAAAGCCACATTTTCCAAATCTGTTTTCTGCTTTGTGGCCTTCTATGGTTCCATACCTATGGGAGTCATTTGCTGAGCATATATTTAAAGTGGGACGTGGGTGGCGCTGTGGTCTAAACCACTGAGCTTCTTGGGCTTGCCGATCAGAAGGTTGGCGGTTCGAATCCCCACAAGGAGGTGAGCTCCTGCTGCTCTGTCCCAGCTCCTGCCAACCTAGCAGTTTGAAAGCACACCAGTGCGAGTAGATAAATAGGTACTGGTGTGACGGGAAGGTAAATGCTGTTTCCATGCGCTCTGGATTCCGTCACGGTGTTCCATTGCGCGAGAAGTGGTTCAGTCCTGCTGGCCACATGACCCGGAAAGCTGTCTGTGGACAAACGCCGGCTCCGTCAGCCTGAAAGCGAGATGTGCGCCGCAACCCCATAGTCACATTTGACTGGATATAACCATCCAGGGGTCCTTTACCTTTACCTAGGTTTAAAGTAGATAATTAATTGGGCAAATTAAATGACTTTGGATATGCAGGAGATATTTTAAAAACTAATTTAAGGAACTGCAGTAAGAGGGGGAAGGAAGTCAAACTCTGAAAAGTTAAAATGTCTGTAAAATTAATGAAATGTATAAATTTGAAAAGTATATATATAAAAACTTGCTACCTTGCATCTAGCATGCAGGGGTCTGGTGGAGGATGGAAGTGACACAGAGGAGGAGTTAAGGGAGGGGGGAAATGGGATAACCCCAAAACCTTGAAATTACAAATGCACGTTACACAGCACAGTGGCATGTAATTGATTTAGAAATGCTTTTTGCATTATTGCTGAAAAGCGGGTTTTAGCGCCGGGGGGGGGGGGAACAGTGGGGATAACCCCTAAGCTAAATAACAGCACAGGGAGTGAACTAAGTGCATGAGTAGTTGTGGCTAATCCTCGGCTAACAGAAGATCATATCTCCTTACTTCTCTGAAATCCTTTGCAGCCCCACCTTTCTGACTGAATAGGTGGTTGCCACTTCCTAAGCAAACACTTTCTCACAGCCACATGCCTAAACCACATCCTAATGCCAATACTGACTGCCCTGTGTTAATTCTGAGCATGTTGACACTAAGCAGGCACCTGGTTCTGCTACCTCTCAGTCTCGGGGTTCTCCCAGGTGGGGGCTGAATATTGCAAACTGATCATTGGCAGGTGACACATTTTTGGTAACTTTTTGGGTTTCCCACCCAAAATGTAAATCTGGATTAAATGGCTGGGGGTGGGGGGGGGGATAGTGGCCGGCATTTTGATTCCAGCAGTGCTGTGAAAAGCCTGCATGCACAAGAAGCATAGATACATGTCAGGATTAAGCACCTTTACCACCCGTGCTGTCTCCCCCACCTGTGATAGCAGAGCGAGGGAACCTGCGGCTCTCCAGATGTTGTTGGACTCCCACTAGCCCACTAGCCACAGTCATCATAGCTCCACAGCATGTTTCCCCCATAAGGCCACCTTGTCTGTTACCTTTGCAGGGAGAATTGCTCCTCCAGTAGTGTCTGGAATGCAGGCAGACCAGATCCATAGAGAGGCTTCTCACACCAGTGACTGGGAACGCTAGGAGGGGAAGCAGCCACCTGATCCAGCCGACCTAGACACACAACCAGCGATGCACCAAGTGAGCATCTTCCCAGCAGCAGCACATTGCCAGGAAGGTGGTGCTTGAAATGGTCCTTTGGTGCAATGGTGGAGTTCAGAATCAAGCTCAGTCACTGAAGTCACCACCCTCCCATGCTAATACTTTGGCTTAAGAAAAAGGGAGCCAATTGCTTTTTGGGCAGTGTGGGACAGAAAAGGATAGAGAGACATAGAGAGATAGAGAGGGAGAGAGAGAGAGAGAGAGAGAGAGAGAGAGAGTTAGCAGTTGCATTGGAAGTAAGCATGGACACCGCAGGGATTTGAACCCTGTCCTGGGAACCAGGAGCGCCGACCACCAGTGTCTTTTGCTTATTTTTTTGAGCAATGCAACAAGGGGAAAAGCAAAACCTGAGAGAACATTCTGTGAATGTTCTCTCAGGAAAAAGAAAACCTTAAGAGGTTAAGAAGAGCTCTTTGGAGAGACCTGTGAAGAGACCAGCAGAAAAGAAAATGGGAAAAAGGAGAGATCAATACAAAAAAAAATGTCTGGGGAAAAAACACTGAGTGGTGTAATGTGAACTTACCTAAAGCAGCACTGTCCTAATGCTGATGACTCTCACTTCAGGTACACTGAACTCTGTGAAGCCTGAAGAAAAGAGGAGCTGGAACAAAAGAAGACGTGTTCTCCTACCGGCAATGAACCTCATTGTGATGACACGGAATAGGGCCTCTTCTGACAACTCAGTCACCACAACCTGAAAGAGTCTTAGCACAATGAGTTGCAGACGGAACACAACAGAGATTTTCTCCCTGGCCAACCAAAGGATACTCACCTAAATGTCCTTCAATCATGGAATACCATTTTGACTGCCATTTTATTTGAATCTGGATGAGCCGTTAATCTAGAGGGGCAGAACAGAGACATCTAGAATCACTAGTTTGTCCCCAGTCACCTTCCACCAATCTTACAGAAAATGAGATTATTATTTTTTTAAACAGCTTTCTTACCACCATGATTTCTGGGACTCTGCTGGAAGAGCTGGCTTCATTTGAGTGTTGCAGGATCTTTGGAAAAAACTGTGAAGAGACCAGAAGAAAAGAAAATGGGAAAAAGGAGAGACCAATACAAAAAAGCATTGTCTTGAAAAAAGATAACTTCGCTGGAAAGAAAATTTATATTGTGTTCCATGCGCAGCTCTTTCTGCTAAGGTTCTTTTTGGTCTCGATACAACCATCACACCACCTTAAGCTCACTGGAAAAAAGGTAGGATATAAATGTAAGTACTGGAGATGAT